CCCCGCCGACTCGCAGGTGAAGTGGCGGCTGAAGCACTGGTTCGGGGGCGTGCGCCAGGGGCTCCCAGAGCAGCCGGGCCCGCCGCTGCCAGAGGAGCCGCCCACGCCTGGACCGTCCGAGGCCGAGCAGTCCATGGAGCTGGAGCTGGCGAGCCGCGCGCCGCCGCGCGCGGAGGAGCAGGGGCGGTTTCCCATCGCTGGCCGAGCACTGCTTCTTTCCGCCATCAACGAGCGGATCGAGGTTCTCCTTGGGCGCCGCGCCCCCCCGAGGGGGCCCCCGACGCCGATGCAGCCTTGCCCTTGGTCGCCTTTGGGCGTGCCCGACACCACGGCCGACGACTTGCGCACTCTCCTGGTGTTCAGCACCTCCCACGGCGAGTCGGCCGCCCCGCAGCTTCTCCTCGGGCCCTGGTCGGAGTGCGGGGCGCCGCCGTCGCTCGAGCACGCGCCTCCGACGCCGTTGCTCGCGCTGCCGCCCGCCCCCGACGCTGGCCAGGAGATGTCGACGGGGCCGCCTGGCGCTGTCGGCGGCCAAATCCCCATCGCGACGATCGCGGCCCAGTCTGGTGCTGCCGCGCGCGCCGGGGCTGCTGCTTCGTCGTCAGGGCCGCCTGCTGCGGCGCCGCTCGTGGTGGAGGGCTCCGACACGGAGGCGGACGCGGAGGTGGACAGTCCGGCGGGCCCGCCCGAGCCTGCGTCGAAGAGGCGCGTCGTCCGAGACAGCGCCGAGGCCGAGGCCTTCGCGTCGCTTGCGGCCGACTGGGAGACTGCGCACCAGAGAACGAGTGGCGCTGCAGCGCGCGCCGTTGCAGGACAGGCCCGCCGCAGAGCTGCCAGAGCCTTCACGACCGCGGAGGTCGTAGCGGCTGGGCTTCCACCGCCGCCGCCGCTGGCGCCGCCGCCGCCGCTGGCGCCGCCTGCCGATGCGTCGGCGCCGCCCCCCGTGCCCGACGGCGCGGGGGCGGGCGCCGTCGCCGTGGACTACGCGGACACGGGGCCAAAATTCGAGGGCGACGAAGCCGAGTCTGATTTTTGACGTTTCCGATTTCGATTTCTATCGAGTCCGCTCGATTCTGAGTCCGCTTCCGAACGCGTCTGACGGGGCTTCTTCGAGGAGCCCGAGTGCCGAGCGATTCCCGTCGGGCCCGCGTTCGATCCGATCCCCAGCGCGATCGATTCCGATTCCAATTGGCTCCAATAGATTCCGCCTGATCGATTCCGACCACACCTCCACCCCGTTCGACTCTGGTCGTCGTGGAAATCGACCCATTCCCAAGGGGAGGGGGTTGGGGAGGTTATACTGGAATCAGGCATGATGGGGGTCAGGAAGGCCACGGGAAGACCAAGGGAGAGTCCTCGCCTGGCCCCCCCTCTCAGTCACAGGTGCCGCGCGGGAGCCCAGGGGAGCCGCTCCACTTCGAGGAGGTGTCCATCCACGTTGTGCTGCCTGTACCTGTGGTGGGCACGCCCGTGGGGTACTGTCGCATGCAGGACGACCACCTGCAGCTCAATGCAGGCGGCAAGTACCAGCGGCCGTGCGTTGTCGTGCAGGGGCTCTGGAAAACGGGGACGCACGCCCTCCACAGTTACATGGAGCGGCACTTCGACGTCGAGGTGCGCAAGAGCAGGTGGGACGGGTGCGTCTCCTTCAACGGCCGCCACGTGTGGAAGCACGACCTGCTCCTCACGCCGTTGGAGTTTCCGCCAGAGGATGAGCAGGGCCGCCCAGTGGTGGTTCTGGTGTGCACGCGCGAGCCGACCAGGCGGCCGACGGGTCTTTCGGGCCAATGGTGCAGCAGAAGCGCGCCAGCTTTTGAGGTATCAGCCTGCCTGCCCTCCCGTCTTCTCACTTCCCCCAAACTATCATGCCATGCTGCTCTCGCAATCCCCCTCCCCCAGGTGGATCAGGGCGATGTCGAAGGGCGCCTACGAACTGATGCCGAACTCTGCCAGCGGCACGAAGCGGGTTCGGAGGATGGGGGACGTGAGTTGGCTCTTGCGGGGGCCGAGAGACGAACCTGTGCACGTCCGCTGGCCCGCCTGGGCGAAAGGCCGCGTCGATTGCGATCCAGAGTTCGAGGATGCGTTCGACTTGTGGTGCCACTACATGGCCGCAGTGCTCCACGGTACTGGCGTGGGCAGCCCGGCGTCTCCAACCCATCGCGTCCTCGTCGTGCGGCACGAGGACCTCGTGTGCAGGCCCGAACTCGTGCTGAATGAGCTCGTCAGGGCTGGCCTGCAAACCAAGGGGTTGCCGTTTCATCCAGAGCGCAGGCTTCTGGGGGGCCACCACGCCGACAAGGGGCGGGCGGTGGAGGCGCTGAGGGAGGAGGTGCAAACGCCAGTGACCCTGGACGATCAGATGGTCGATTGCATGGTGTCGAGGGCTCAACGGTACAAAGGCTTGTTTGCCACTTGCTGGTACCCGCCCGCCGACGGCAAACTTCCAGTCGACCACGTGAGTGTCGAGGATGTTTATAAAGTTTGCGGAGCGGCGTGATTTATCTGTTTCCCGCGAGCTGTCCAACTAGCAGGCAGCCCCCGCCACCTGTTCATTCCTCTTCGCCTCCTCTGGTGCAGCATCAGCGCGCTTCTCCCTACTCCCTCTCCTGGTGACGGCCTGCAAAGCAGCCGCGCCCGAATTGCTGGCATTTGGAACGGCGCCAATTCGCTGCGGATTATTCCTTTGAGAGCTTCGTGCGCAACGTTCGCACATGAAAAAAAGAAGATGTCGGGTGACAGAGCACCCCCAACGAGGTGGGGAACCCTGGGCTGACAGAGCCCCCCAACGCGGCCTGGGGAAGCTTGCAGAGGTTCCAAGAGGCACCAGTGGGCTCCAAGACGGCCCCGAGAGGACGCCGAGTAGGCTTCAAGAGGTTCCTCCCCCAAAATTACCCCAAGGGTATCTGTAGAGGGCTTCCCGAGGTCGTCGTCGTCGTCGTGGTCGTGGTCGTGATCGTCGTCGTCGTCGTCGTCGTCGTCGTCGTCCTCGTCCTCGTCGTGGTCGTCGTTGTCATCGTCGTCGTGGCCGTCGTCGTCGTGGTCGTCGTCGTCGTGGTCGTGGTCGTGTTCGTCGTCGTTGTCGTCGTCGTGGACGTCGTTGTCGTGGTCGTGGTCGTCGTCGTCGTCGTCGTCGTCGTGGAGCCCGTCGTCGTCGTCGTCGTCGTCGTCGTCGTCGTCGTCTTCGTCAGCGGACATCTTTCCTCCTTTGTGGTTGTGGCGCACCCCGCGGCTGCGGCGGCTCATGATTGAAACGACTGTTGTGAATGCGTTTCCTGCCGCGCCGCGGCGACTAGGAGGAAGGGAGGGGGAAGGGAGAGGGAAGAGAGGAGGAGGGGATGAGGAAGGGAGGAGGAAGGGAAGAGGAAGAGAGGAGGACAGGAGGAGGAAGGGGGGCCAACGGGGGGAGGAAGGGAGGAGCAAGGGGGAAGGGAGGAGGATTGGATGAGGACGGGGGGAGGACGGGGGGAGAAAGGGAGGAGCAAGGGAGGAGGAAGCGAGGTGGAAGGGAGGGGGAAGAGACCAGGACGGGAGGAGGATGGGGAGAGAAAGGCGAAGGCTAAGGTACTCACTATGTGGTCACTCCGTGCGGCGAACGGATGCTGGGGGCACCCCCGCTTCAAAGGTGGTCGTTGCAAGACGTTGTAGCGCCAGGCCGCCTCGAGGAAGAGGGGGGGGGGGCGCGGGAGGAGGAATAAGTAACGAACGCGGAGGAGAGGAGGAGGAGGAGGAGGAGGAGGGGAGGCGCAGGAGAAAGCAGACTGCTGTGAGTGACAAGCCAGGGAGCACCCCTGCTCATTACCCGACGCTGCCTTCCGCATGGTGGCAAGCGTCATCGGTGGCGCCCGTGACCGCTCGAGAAGTGACGCGCGGGCCCGCGTCGAGCAAACCGGAGAAGGAGGAGGAGGAATAGGAGGAGGAGGATGAGGAGGAAAAGGAAGAGGAGAAACCTAGCAGGAGGCTGGGGGCCTCTATCGTGTGAGCCGTGCATCTGTAGTCCTTGTGGCTCCAGCGCGCTGGTGGTCATATGCCCGAATGGATCTGTTCGCAGCTGCTCGGGACGCGTTGGGTCGCCTCGTGGGCGGCGATGGGCTCGGGGCTCGAGGCGCAGCAGAAGCGCGCCGCCCCGGGCCCCGCCCAGGCAGGCGCGGCCTGGTGCCTCTGGGCGCGGCTGCCGCTGCAGCTCGTCGGGCTAGGGGCGATGCGCGGCTCCAGCTGGCGTGGAGCTGCAGGCGCAGATGGCCACGCACAATTTGGACAATGCCAAGCGACAGGTGGACGTGATGGGGGAGGGGCAGGAAGGCCCGCGCAAGAAGTCGCCAAGATTTCGCTGGGATCAGTGGCTTCCTCGGACAATGCTCCGCGCAGTGTTCAGCAAAGAGAATCTGCGGATGGCTGCTAGCAGCGTCGCCAAGGTTTTCAGAGGCACCGGAATCAAAGGCAGCCATCTTTTCGTTCGCCAATTGAGATCGGCTTTGGCGGAGCTTTATTGCGACAGCCAACGTGTTCAAATAGAGCGCCAAGTGCTCAGAGCGCCTGGGACAGAACACAATTGGTTGGTTATGCATCTGCAGTGGGACGAAACCAAGTTCACTGTGCAGCTGAACGACGGCAAGCCTCCTTGTGGGCAGCAAGTGATGACACAGCACGGCGTGTTGCATTGGGAAGACGAGGACCTCCGCGTCCACAGCCAAGAGCTTATCTTCCCACCGTCCGTGCTGGAATCTGCAACCGCCGACTGCATGCTCGGAGGCCTCGCGCGGGCGTTGCGCGTGGATATGGATGAGCTCTGGCCGTCGGCGCTGCTGGCGTGCTTGTCCCCGAGCGTCGATTCTGTGGCCGCAAACGGGCTGGTGTGCAAATATTTGCTGCAGACGTTGCCCTGGTGGGTCCTCCTGTTGCCTTCTTTTTGTTTGCAGCATCAAACCGCAATATGTTTGCAGTCGGTCGGGGACATGACGGGGGTCGTCGGCGGCATGTTTTCCACTGTCAGACACTTGCAAACAGGGGCCAACTTGCGGGCCCTCGAGACAGCTCTGCGGCAAATCCTGTCGGACGAGGAGGCTGGTCTGGAGGTGCGGCGGGGCGCGCCGAATCCAGCGGGCAGGGGGAAGCTCGACATGCTGCTCGGGTATTGCGACCGCCAGATGGATGAGGACGTGGAGGACGAGGAGGTGACAGCGGCGCGCGGCCAACGCAGAGGCCTCACCAAGCCAGAGGTCGACTTGATCAAGGAGATGTTCACCGGCGACGTGTCTCAAGAGAGGCCTGTGCACCATTGCAGGGGCCGCGACTGCTGCGCGAACAGGCAGGAGTCTGTCGACAGAGCGGTGGCGGCGGTGATGGTTCCTTTGCGCAGGCGTTTGGCAGTGCCCGCGTTGAACCGCTGGAACACTGTGCATCCCACCGCGTGCGTCTTGCTGCTGTTGATCTCCTTGCATGGATTGCTGCCGCGTGCGCTCGAGAAGACGTGCGGCGCTGCTGTGCGCGCCATGCGGCGGGAAGATGGCGGCCTCGAGAGCGGCAGCGGCGCAGCGGGCCTGGGGGATTTCAGGCGTGAACAGCATGTTCGCACCGTCAAGATGATGAGGTTTCTCTCCGATCTACTTGCGCGGCAACGGCTGGTCCTGTGGGTGGCCGTGGCCGCCGTGGGGATGCGATTTCATTACGCATGTTTCAAACGTGGGTCTTTGCATGGCTGGCTCGACCCCAAGGGGTCTGCGCTGTCGTCATTCTGCAAGAGCGTCGTCTTTGACACGCTCGCTCAGCTGAGCTCAGCCTTTGACCCCGCTGCAGCTGGACATTACGATTTGTGGAGATTGCCGCTTGCCCTGCACGGCCCCCTCGCGTCCTGGCCCGGCGAGGTCCTCCGCGAAGCAGACGCCATCGTCCACGTATTCACTGGGTCCTTTTATCGTCGCTTCGACATTCGTTTGAGCGGTTACCCATGGAGGCTCATGCGGCTCGTGGACGCCTCCCTGGACATGGGGGCCCGCCGCGCAGAAGGCGAAGAACTCTTTCGGGCAAACGAGTGTTGCCTGGACTCGGGGTTCTCCTTGAGGCTGAGGAAGATGTGCACCACGGGCGTTGACGACCTTTTCCTGCCAGAGGTGCAGCGCTTTCTCTCCGTATGCTTTAGGTGCGCGATGGCCTCGACGGTGCATTCCGAATTGTTGGCGTTGCGCAGATCCCCGCCAGCCCATCCAGAAACGTCGCCCAGGCGAGTTGGCTTTTTCACGGCTGCGGTCTGCGACCCTAGGGGCCGTCTTGGGCCATTCTTGACGCTCTAACCTATTGCGGGCCCCCGCGCCCAGGTCCTGGGGAGGGGGCGCGGGAGAGGGGTAGACCCCTCCGCAAACGGGAAAGAATGGGGGTTGGAAGAGGAATCTTCCTAGACCACTTGCGCCCTGAAGGGCGCGTGGGATTGGCTTTTGCGCGGATGAGAGCCCACCTCCAGACGATGAACAACAGACCTCCGAACGCCGCGACGCTCTCCGCCAAGCACGTGATCTCCGAGGTTGTTCGCTGTCACGAAGAGGGGCGGAGAAGGCGCCGCGGGCGCGACTTGCGCACCAAGCGGGGCCGACTCCTGCAGAAGAGCGGCCACTCGAAACCGATCTGGGCCCAAGGCAAAGGAGGCAACCAGCGGCGCAAGAGGTTGGGCCATTATATGTTTTACCACCGTCGCGTGGCTGATCTGCGAGATTCGCAGCCGCGGGCGCCATGGGCAGACCCGAGAGAGTACGAGCGGCGTCTGTATCTACAGGCGGCCGCGGACTGGCGGGCTGCATCCGAGGCCGAGAGGCGAAGCTGGAGAGAGGCGGCTCGGCGAGCGAACAAGGCTGAGAGGATGAAGCCAGACCCGCTGCACGAGTGCGTGCGCATCTGTCGCGACCACGTTGACCAGTCGGACGAAGCTGCTTGGCCTTGGGGTCTCGGCTCAGACGAGTTCCCCTTGTCCGAGGACCTTGTCTCCGCAGCCGTGCAAACACATGTCGATGCGAAGCTGAAGATGGGATCCTTCGTGGAAGCCACGGCCGTGTCGTTTGACGACATGTACAATGCTGCTGTGGCGCCTCCAGGACTCATTCGCTGCGGCCTCCCAACTGAGCGGCCTTGCTGCACGCGCGCGGCAGAATGCCTTGGCGGCGTCGCCGACTTGCGGGGGGAGTACCAAGGCGCAGTGGAAGATTTGCGGTTGTTGGTGGCCCCTGCGAGGTGCAAGACTGTCGGGAAGATGATGACCCTCCAGGTTTCAGGGCCTGGAGGCTGCGTGATGATTCGCAACTTCTCGCACTTGAAAAGTCCTATTTTCACGGGGGAGTTCTGCGAGTGCGACGTGGTGGGGCAGCCATGCGGGCTCGGCGCGGCGCCCCCCGAGGTGCCATTCTCTCTGCGCCGGTGTTGGGCGGAGAGGAAGGGCCGCAGAGTGTTGAAGATGATGACTGAGATCGACGTCGCCCTCCACATCTTACGCGTGTGCGGGCGCGACCGGGCTGA